AATTGTTTTATTATACATTTAAAGACATGAGAAACATATAAAACGATTCCTGTTCATGAGGTAGGAAAAGTACAATTTGAATATCGAACACCTTGCACAAAGTCAAAGGTCAGCTAAATATTCTACTTCTATTTACCCCTTTGTGGCTTTTTTCGTGCTTTCACTATCCTTATCTGCCAATAATTTGGAGAGTTCACTTTCATTCAGCGAAGCAAATCTGCTGTCGGCCATTGTTTGTTTGTTTTTTTCGCGCGCTTATACGTTCAAGCTTTTGGCCGCGCAAGGGTTTGGGCACGAGAGAGTCCAATAATTGTTTTTTTGGATGCAAGTTCGATCCAAAAAAACAATTATTGGACGCTGATGACGTCATCGGCGGAAAAAAGTAATAAATGCCGAATACTGAAAATTAGCCGGTGCTTTCTGACCAATTAGAAACGAGAATACATATTAAATGTATAATAATACAATGTATTGTCCGGGAGTATAATTACAACACGGTAATTCTCGTTACTCGAGATTTCCCGATGCACTGCTGGTAGTCTCGTGACCTGCGCGTGACCAAACGTAACCTACACACGCAAAAATCTCACATCTTGTAGACTTGCCACAAGTCGACCATGGGGGAGGAAGGGCGCGGGGGAGGGAACACGCGACCCGAGCGACGAAGTCGCGAGTGGTCGACTTGTGTCCCTTGCAGGAATTTAAATCGCATTAAAAATTTTGGCGCGAATAATTTTGACATAAAAGGGGTGTGTACATTTCATACAATTACTTCACCGGCGGCGCCGACAGTGGGTCTACAAAAACACAAAAACATTCCCAAGAATTGATATTTCTTTGTCCTCGAATGAAACAGTTTGCACCGAGTGTGGAAACGAAATAACTGACCCAAGTAAGCGTCGAAAGCTGTTCAATGTATCAACAAAAACGAGTGCATGTAAAAACTTATTGAATCTAGACAGTTGTTTTGTCTAACAATGTGTGCCGTAATTGTACCGACAAGAATAGTAATTTATTAGACTTATTATAGAAAGTTGATTCAGTTCGCGAGCGATTTAATATTAGTACTAGAAGTTAATCTAATTGAAAAGAATCAGACAACTAGCTGTAACCGCGAAGCAGAGAGGCGGCGATTGTGATCAACGAGAAGACGTCGCCAGAGTTCAAAATTCGGTAAAAATACGCGTTGTTTTCTCAAAAAATGATTTTGTATTAATAATCAGTAATCACGAGATCAAGAAACCCAAACTAAACCCAAAACTAGTAGAATCATTAGATGCATCTTCGGTACGTGACAGTATTAATAAAGTTTATTTCGACACCCTGTACTTTTAAATATAGCCTACTCAATCGTCTCAATGTAATGCTTGTTTGTGTATTTTCACATGGTTTTTGTGTTCTACAAAATTGTAATTACATTGTTTACTCTAATTGCTTCAATAGTACACATTTGTTCAACAAGAAAGCCCAAGAATATAATTTGTAATACAATAATAATGTAAACCGTTTCGGCAAATCGGCAATGTAAACAATGACGTCACCGGTGGATTTTTCCACCGGTGATATTTGGCACGCTGCAAGTGACAAAAGTCTCGAGATTTCCCGATGCACTGCTGGTAGTCTCGTGACCTGCGCGTGACCAAACGTAACCTACACACGCAAAAATCTCACATCTTGTAGCAAGTCTTCCAACAAGCCGTCAACAAGTTGTCTTCGCACTGCTTGTCTCAAGTTGTCAACAAGTTTGGAACAAACTGTTAACAACTTGTAACAACCTTGTTGATAGCATCAGACTTGTTGCAAGGTTGTTCCAACAAGTCCGATACAGTCATGATATAACAATATTGTTACAACCTTGTGTCATCAACGTTGTAACATTCTTGTTATATCATGACTGTATCAGATTTGCTAGAACAACCTTGTGACAAGCCTGATAATGCCATCAAGCTTGTTACAAGTTGTTAACAGCTTGTTTCAAACTTGTTACAACAACTGGAAACAAGCAGTGCGTACACAACTTGTTGACAGCTTGTGAACAGATTTGTAACAACTTGTTTGCAGACTTGTAACAACTTGTGCGTTTTTACTTGTGTACACGCGTAAAAATCTCACAACTTGTCAACAAGTGTGTTCGCATCGAGCTTGTAGAAAGCTTGTCAACAACTTGTGATAAGCTGTTATTTTATCAAGTTGCTACAAGATTGTCACTCACAGCTTGTTCACAAATTGTTGAATTGCTGGACGATAACAAGTTGTTGGAACAACTTGCAACAAGTCTGTGGAGCTCAACGACCTTGTAGCAAGTTGTCAACAAGTCGCCGACAACTTGTCAACAAGATGGGAACAATCATCAGTGCGAACGCATCCCGTTGACAAGTTGCATGTTGGAACTGCATTGCTACAAGTCTGCAGCAGGTTTGTTATAACTTGTGCGTTTTTACGTGTGTAGGTGAGCTCAACAGTCCTACAGACTTGTTACAAGTTAATAATTGTTCCAACAACTTGTTATCGTCTTGCAATTCAACAACTTGTCAACAAGTTGTGAGTGACCAGTGGCGGAAATCTTGGTGGGGCAGAGGGGCGCCCCCCCCCCCCCCCCCCC